AACAGTATTATAAGAAATGTTAGAGGGGCTTCTTTAAGACAAAAAAAAAAAAATCAAAAGTATAAATAATAAAATGGCAATAACTACAGACCTATCAACAATTACTTTCAATATAAATGGATTAAACACTTCAGTCAAAAGATAGGGTGGCTGAATGCATAAGAAAACAAGACCCTTATACATATGCTGCCTATAAGAGACTCACTTCAGATTGAAAGTAAAGGCATGGAAAAAGATATTTCATGAAAATGGACACAAACAAACAAACAAACAAACAAAGCTGGGGTAGCAATACTTACACCAGACAAAGTAGACTTTAAAACAGAGGTTATAACAAGAGACAAAGAAGGACCCAGTAATCTCACTTCTAGGTATTTATCCAAAGAAACCCAAAACTCTACTTCGAGGGGACATGTGCATCCGTATTTTCATCGCAGCATTGTTTACAATGGCCAAGATGTAGAGGCAGCCTGGGTGTCCATCGATGGACAAATGGATAAGGAGGAAGTGGTACATATATACAATGGAATATTGTTTGGCCATGGAAGGGAATGGGATCTTGCCATCTGCAGCGGCATGGATGGACCTGGAAGGTGTTGTGCTGAGCGGAGTACGTCATACAGAGAAAGGCAGATGCAATGTGATTTCACTTATATGTGGAATCTAAAGAACAAAATAAACAAACAAAACATAGACAAACTCAAAAACACAGAGAACATTTTGATGGTTGCCAGATGGGAGGGGGATTGGGAGATGGTGGGTGAAAAAAGGGAAGGGGTTAAGAAGTAAAAACTGGTTACAAAATAGTCTTGGGGACATAAAGTCAATAGGGAATATAGTCAATAATATGTTAATAACTATGTATAGTGCCAGGTGTGTACTAGACTAATTGGGGGGAATCACTGCATAAATTATATAATGTCTGACCACTATGCTGTACAACTGAACTTAATATAAAATAATATTCAATGTCAACTGTAACTGAAAATTTTTTTAAATGGGGGGAAATGGTGAAGGGGAATAAAAAGTTCAAATTTCCAGGTATAAAACAAATGAATCATGGGGATGCAATGTACAGCACAGGAAATACAGTCAATAATACCATGATAGCATAGTACAGTGTCAGATGGTTGCTGGACTTATCATGGTGATCGTTTCTTTAGGTAGATAAATACTGAATAACTATGGTATATACCTGAAATTAATATAATATTGTATGTTAGCTATATAAAAATCTTTAAAAAATAATGCCCACACTACCCAAAGACATCTATAGATTCAATGTAATCACTGTCAAAATAGCAAGGGCATTTTTCACAGAACTAAAACAAATAATCCTAAAATATCCCAAAAGGCCAAAACAATCTTGAGAAAGAAGGACAAAGTCAGAGATATCATGCTACTGATATCACACTATATTACAAGGCTACAGTAATCAAAACAGCACAGTACTGGCATAAAAACAGACACATAGATCAATGGAACAGAATACAGGTCCTAGAAATAAACCCACGCCTATATGGTTATTTAATCTCTGACAAAGAAGGCAAGAATATATAATGGGGTAAAGACAGTCTCTTCAATAATGGTATTGGGAAAACTGGACAAATACATGCCAAAAAATAAAATTAGACCACTTTCTTTCACCATCTACAAGAATTAACTCAAAATGAATTAAAGACTTAAATGTTAAGACCTAAAACCATAAAACTAGAAGTAAACATAGGCAGTATACTCTCTGACATTGCTCTTAGTAATATGTTTTTGGATATGCCTCCTCAGGCAAGGGAAACAAAAGAAAAACTAAACAAATAGGACTACATCAAACTAAAAAGGTTTTGCAGAGCAAAAGAAAACAAAAAGATATCCTACTAAATGGGAGAAGATATTTGCCAATGATACATTGATAAGGGGTTAATATCCAAAATATATAAATAACTCATACAACTTAACAGCAAAAAAAGAAACAATCCAATTAAAAAATGGAGAGATAACCTAAATAGACATTTCTTCAGAGAACATACAGATGGCCAAAAGACATAGGAAAAGATGCTCAACGTCACTAAGCATCAGAGAAACGCAAATAAAAACCACAATGAGATACCACTCCACTCCGGTCAGGATGGCTATCATCAGTAAATCAACAAACAAGTGCTGGCGAGGATGTGGAGAAAAGGGAACCCTGGTGCACTGTTGGTGGGACTGGAGATTTATGCAGCCACTGTGGAGATCAGTATGGAGGTTCCACAGAAATTACAAATAGAACTACTTTATGACCCAGCAATCCCACTTCTAGGTATTTACCTGAAGAAATCCAAAACACTAATTCAAAAAGACATATGCACCTCTATGTTTACTGCAGCGCTATTCACAACAGCCAAGATGTGGAAGCAATCTAAGTGTCCATCAGTAGACAAGTGGATAAAGAAAAGATACAATGGCATATTATTCAGCCATTAAAAAAAAAATGAAATCTTACAATTTGTGACAACATGGATGGACCTAGACGACGATATTGCGCTAAATGAAATAAGTCAGACAAAGACAGACAAACACCATATGATTTCACTTTTATGTACAATCTAAAAAAAGCAACAACAACAAAAGAAACAAACAAACAAAACAGACTCATAGGTATAGAGAACAACTAATGGTTGCCAGATGGGAGGTATGTTGGGGGCTGGGTGAAAAAGTGAAGGGATTAGGAAGTACAAATTGGCATTCACACAATATTCATGGGAATGTAAAGTACAGCATAGGGAATATAGTCAATAATATTGTAGTGACTATATATATGGTGTCAGGTGGGTACCAGATTTTATTGGAGGAATCACTCACAAGTTATATAAATGACTAACCACTATGCTGTACACCTGCAACTAATATAATACTGAATGTCAACTGCAACTGAAAAAAACTTTTTAATTAAAAAAAAAAGACCGATAGCACCTCTGAAGGAGAAGCAGGAAGTGGAAAAGCACTATCAGAGACCATAAGGAAATTTCTCCACCTGGATATCTAACAGGCATCTCCAACCTAGTAAATCCAAAAACAAACTCTTGCATCTTTTGCTCCCACACCTGCACCAAACCCGACTCAGTACGTAGCCATCATTCCAATTGTTGCTCAGGCCAAGTAGCGATGGTCTCTTGACGCCTACTATTCTCATTTCCCACATCCAATCCATCAACAAATGGTAATATAATTAGTTTGATCATCTCCACTAGTACCGCCCTGGGTTCAGCCAAGCTCAACCTCCACTGGCCTGGATTCCTGCAGTACTTTCACAACTAGTCTTCATGTATCCACTCTTGCCCCCTCCAGGAGTATAATTTCCACACAGCATCGAGGATGGCTTTTTTAAAAGATAAATCACATGGGGGGCCGGCCAAGTGGCTCAGTTGGTTAAGAGCTCACTCAAGAGTGCAAGCTCTGAGCAACAGGGTCGCCGGTTTGGTTCCCAGCCCGAGCTGAGAGCAGCAGCTCAGCTGCCAGCAGGTGGCAGGATGGCTAAGCTTAAAAAAAAA